ATGTAATTGTATATTAATGATACCAAAAAGAAAAGGATAGGATCAGGAATAATTGAGGACAAGAGGCAGCAAGGAAGTAGGATACCAAAAATCAGTGATGAGAGAAGTCCAATGTGTTAGAAGTATTCTTTGCTAGGTGTTCTAAATTTTACCCTCCAGTCCAGGTGTTTTCAAACATCTGCTTCAGAGTCCTCTGGAGAATTCCCTAGAGCCTCACTCCTCAAGCTGTGGTCCGAACCAGAAACATCAGCGTCGCCTGGGAACTTGTGAGAATGCATGGCAAACCCACTGGGTCACAATCTGAATTTTCATAAGCCCTTAGGTGATTTGTAGACACAAATATTTGAGAAGCACTACTCTAAACTACTTGTTAGAAATGAAGATTGGTAAATTACCAATCTTTGGGTTGGCACAGAATCTAAACCAGAATCTTTGGGTTGAAGCACAGGAATCACCATTTTTTAAAGGAATGGTAGGAAATGATGATCTGGGATAAATTTGAGAACCACAGTGGGCAATGGGAAGCCATGGAACAATTTGAAAAAGGAGTGTAACAAATTCCAGTATTCCTATTAGAAAGGTCATCCTGGATACACTGGAAGGTTTGGGAAATGTGGACACACCACCAGGAGACATGAGTAACATCAACAGCCAGAGTGATTTCATCATAGAACAAGGACCCTGGCTCATATCAAACTATGAAGTAGAAGCATGTAGAAACCAGAAACTTCAGCAATATATCTGTAGACCCCAAGATGTGGCATACAGGAGAGGGAAGGTCAGTGATGGCTTTGGAAGTGACTGAGCTTAGACTGTTTTATTCCACTTACTGTGACTCAACTTTCTCATTTGTATTACAATGGCATTGTGAGCTGGGCAAATGTGTTTTGTCCTCAAGTCATAGCATTAGAGAAAGAAAGATTCAGAATAAATATTGGTTCATTAAAACTCTTGTCCTTTGGTAACAAGAATAACTTCTTGAAGAAAAGACCTACTTTTACTAAAACCTGTGTGTGTGTTCTATGGGCAAGAGCAAAATATATTTGTATCACAGATATGGAAACACGTGAGAACCAATGCTCATCAGTTTAAGTGAAGAATATTTAAGTAAGAGTCTGGACATTGCTTATAAATAAAGAATAGAGCATGACATACAAACAGATGTATTAGGCTAGTTATCTGTCAGAAAGCAAATAATCTCCTCATATATATTCAATGCAACATCTTCACTAATAAATTTACCGAAGTTAGTTTCTTCCATACCTACTGTACTGAACTGGTGGCCTCACACCACCAAATTCATTCTTCTCTTCTGTATGTCAGTCCTCCAAGTTATTGCATTTTCAGGTCTGGCCTAAGAATTCCTATTCAGAACAAGTGCATCCACAGTTACCACAGAGGCCACACTGGGAACTGATCTCACAAAGCATTCTCAGGAGTTTAGATGACTTCTACAATATGTACCTTGCTATAACTTTCCAAGCAGAACACTAAATAGGAATGAAAATAACAGATGAAAGAGAGGGAATGAGAGAAAAGGAGTTGGAGAACCACCCATGCCTTCAACAGGGGTGTCAGTTGTAAATCTAAGAATATGGGTTATTTTTAGGGGATGCAGATCAGTGCCACTCAAAGTGTTTTACACCTTTTTCATTGTCACAGCTCAAACAGTGTGGAAGAGAGATAGAGACTTCTGATTTTCTCACATCTAGATTCAGCCAGCACAGGTGTCGTAGTGAGGCCCAGGCTCTGGCAAAGCTGCTGTGTACGGTTCTCCGTCCCACTGGGCTGCTGGGGCACAGCTGCTAAAAGAAACCTTACGTATGAAAGTAATAAACTTTTTTCCTGGGAGTTTCCTTTAACCTCAGTTTTTATAGATCTTATTTATAAACTTCAGCTTTTAAAATAGTTTAATGTTTACTTCGTGGGCAACAACAACTAGATGAGCAGTAAGAACACTGAGTATGTCCAGCCTTGCTCACAAAGCTCCCTTACAGATATGCTTTCACATCAAGCACTCTACCTACATGAAGTTTTAGGGCAATTATTCTTCACCTATCCATAAATATCTCAAAATACTTAGCTCTCAAGTTCAAGATTTATGAAAGAATTCAGTAAAAAATGAGTAAGGTAATAAAGACAGTAAAAACTGGGTAGGGCTAGGAAAGTAGTAATTTTGCTCCTGATAGCTTTTAGATCATAGCTGAAGATGGCATGAGTAGAAAACCAAAGACTCACTGTTAGAGTTCAAGCACAATTACCTAATTAAAGCTGAATTTAGTATTGACTGAGAGGAATAACATAAGCCTAAAGCTGTATATTTAGAAAGTCCTCCAAATTATGAGAAAAGTGAATGATCTCAGCATGCCTATACACTGCTGGTGGGCATGCATGTTGGAAGAACTTGTGACCAAGTAATTACACTCTCGGGAATCTGCCATACAGAACTACTCATACCAGAGTACAAAGATAATAAAGGTGAGCATATTTACTTCAATGCTGTTCCAGTGGAAAGTTGGAAGCAACCTGAAAATTTACTAAAAGGACTTGGTTGAAAAAATTAAGGTAAATGGAGCACCATGTAGCCTTTTTAATAGAATGAGGTAGGACACTGTGCAGTTGTACTTATCATACAGGATGATCTTATTGTTGGAAAATAAGTATATATACATATATCAATGCCCATATATGCATAAAATTGTCTGGAAGGATATGTTCCAAGCAATTAGCAGTGGAAATCAGTAACAGAAAAAAGAGGCGAGTGAGAAAAAGGCTTCGACATTTTTTCTTGTATACCTTCAAAATTCCATAGTTAAAAAAAAAGTATTACTTTTATAACTAAAATAAGAAGCAAACACTTTATTTGAATACATTTTGAATTCTTGGTTCATAATTCAGTAAACTGAAAAACTAATGAACAGAATGAAAGTTTTAGATACCTGGACCTTTTAATCAGCTTCTAGCAAAGAGCACATGAAACTCACTTTCCATTCCAATTAAACACTGCCCCTCCCATACCCGAGGGGGAATACATGTGTGTGCGGAGGGGAGGTACACTGACTTGCTAGCACTGAAGCATTGGTTTTGGCTAGAATCCAGCTTAAATATTTACTTTATATTCACAAAATAATGAGAAATTAAAGTACACGCTGGGAATTAAAATGTATATTCTTGAACAGAGAGGGGGAGGATTATAGCACACATTTGGCAGTACAATCACTGGGTTTACAAATACAGAACATTTTGTTGAATTAAAGCCCCATAAACTAGTTCCCTAACTATGGGGCCGGGGAGATCACAGTCAAAGCTTTTACAATAAGTATGAAGTAAGTTCCTAATCTAGTTAGTTCTATTATAGAAATCGAGTTAAATTTTTATTTGTTGAGGATAAAGCAGAGATATACTATGATACTGGGACAGAGGATGATGTAATGACAATAGATAGATAAACAATATAGCAAAGAAAGAAGATTCATTAAATGTTTTTATTTTAAGAGCCCATGCAAGAAGCTAGCTTTCTCACAATCCATGCCTACCTAGGCAAAATCGAGTAATTATCTGGATGACTTGAGGAAATGATTACTTTGGGCTGACATGTCTAAACATTTGAAGCAAGTAGGCCTCCCAGCCTTAGAACATTAACATGATAGTTTCTTCGGTTCTCCACCTCATCTCTCCACTCCACTCACAGGTCTATCTGGGCACGGACGACAATGGCTCATGATCTGACCTTTATAGTACATGACTGCTATTCTTCAGAAAGCCCAGTGGCCGCGACCCCATGGGCTTTTTTGTCTTGGACTTGGAGCAGTTCAATAGCCATGTGTGGATGGCTCATGGTTTGATTATGTGTCAAAGTAGGTCAATCTTTTCTCTGATTTTCTCTGCTAGTGTTTCACAACAAAAGCATGACCTGTAGAGGTACTGAGTATTTGCTTCTGTATAAACATAGTGCTTATTTTGCTTTTTAGTTGGATTCATCTCACTGAACATGAGATAGATACTATGCGGGGATGGGAAGCATAGGATTTTTTTTTTTTAATGACAACTGAAAAATTTGAAAGTTTATGGTTATCATATTCATATTGTTCAGAGTTATTGTTCTGAAACACTGTATTCTGGTATTTTGTCCTGGCCTAAGGGCACTTGGTGTTGCATTTTGATGAAATGGAAGATCACCACTCTTAGATATTATAAAATGGCCTTCTGATGGTTAGGTAAACTTGAAATTTGTAAGAATTGTAAGATGTCCAGAAGTGCTTATGGCTTCAACTAGGAATTTCAAAGAAACTCATCTTTAAGCATTTTTAATAGCATAGACAATAAAAATAAAACCTGGATAAATGTGTTACCTTATGTATTTACCTTAAAACAGAAACCTTAAAACCTTCCAGTGTTCAAAGAAATATGGTTGTTTCAAATTGAATGAACAATGCTTCATGATTTCATAAAAAAAATTTCAGAAATATTTGTTCTTCCACATTTGGCTTTTGTTTCCAACCACAAAGATGAAGAAAATAAATGAAGAGGCTATTAAATCAGCATTTTGTAAAGAGTTAACCTCTCCCCATTGGAACGCCTGTTTTGCAAGTGACATTTAAAATTCCAGGATGGTTAGGCAGATATGGGATAAAGTTGTTTTTCTTAAGGGGTCAGCTTTGCAAAACAGTAACAAAGGCAATATATTTGAAGAAAATAATGATGTTGAATTAAACACCAATTTTAAAATATATTCAAACTGGTGGATAATTTGCTTTTGCGAAACTAATTGTACCAATTGCAAAGGCAACTGTTCCATGAAAACTGAATGGGGCCCAACTCTTTCCAGTGAAAAACATGTTTGAGCAAAACTCATGGAAAGAGATAATTCCCTTAATATCTCAATTACCTTTAATTTATTATAGAACTCTTACTCTATGAGGTATATAGAAATATATAAGACAGTGTTCTTTTTCATTCTAAAGCAAGTAATGAATTTGATTGGCCATAAAAAAACTTACCACATAGTTCTTCCGTATCAAGATTGCTGAAAAGATGAAAAAGAAAGTATTACTAATTTGGTAATATTTAAGTTTTTAAATAGTTAGATAAATTAGTACCCAATCTATGTTATTGTATTAATAGATGATCTATAGTTAAGGTTTTTCTCTTATAGATTCTGCATTGTTTAGGTAGTCAGTCATATTAACAATGATTATGTCAGATTTTGTCTTTGAACAAATAATGCTGGGCTTTGTGTTTCCCCCCTGCCATGCTGGGGAAATGCTGCATAATAGTAAAGAAGGTAGGCACTGGTGCCAGAATGCCGAGTGTAAATCCCATCTCCACCATTTACCATCTGTGTGACCCTGAGTACTTCCTGTCTCTGTATCCCAGTTCTTCAGGCCCAGGATGGGGATAATAATAACTTCTGTTTCATAAGAATGTCATAGGATTTAAGTGGGCTAATACATATAAAGCCATTAAAAGAGTAACTGGCACAAAGTAAGCACTTAATAAATGTTAGCTATCATGATTTTGACTGCTAGAACTTTCATGATAGATTCAACTTTTGAGGTAAGTTTAATTCAATGCTTATTTCAAGTGATTTCTAAAACATAAGGATTATATACCTTAATGTTTTCATATAAACTACAGACACCTCTTACTCTTATGAAGATAAATGCAAAACAGCCAGTTGAAATGCTAGCAGATATAATACATCACTATCATGAGAATAATGCCTTGACCTAGGAAGGCATGGTACAGGAGAGCAAGATTCGCCCAATACCAGGTAATAAATGTAACATCTTAAAGGAGAGAAACCATCATATTAATTAATACTAAATGTAAATTTAATAAAATTCAGCCATTCTTAATTTTTGAAAGTTCAAATGAAATCAAAATAGAAGAAAACCTCCTAAAGATAATGAAGACTACTAGGACCAACTGCAAGTATCAGTTAACTGAAAATCTTTCACTTTATATAGCTGCTATGTCAAAGCTCAACGTAAATAAGCTCCATAATCCAATTCTCCCTTAAGTAGCAGTCGGGGATGCTGGAAAGGAGGGCTCTGGTATAAGCTTTCCCAACACTGGGTCTTTTTATCAATTCCATCAGTAGTTTTGTTATATAATTATGAACACAGGATTTTATCCTAGGACACTGAATATTTGATATTGTACAAATAATATCTCTGTGCATAAGTAAATCTTTTTGTAACACAGTATTTTCCATCAGGTAGAATATGTAAAGTCTTCTGCAGTAGCTTTAGTGTGCGTTCTGTTTATCCTTTCATTTATCCCCCAAACATCCATTGCTACATGCCAGGCATTGCTCTGCCTTCAGATATGAGGTTGCAATAGATACTGAGATGAGTATGTCACGTGACCAGATTCTGGCTGCTCAATTTAAAGATAGATTCACATGGTAAATAAATTATTAAAATGCAATAAGGTACTTCTATGGAGGATGTGGTTATCTGACAAAAGGTATGAGGGACTATATCATAAAGGGCAGAATTTTGGGCTAAATCTCAAAGGTTAAATATGAGTAGAAAAGGCAGACAAATAAAGCAATTTCAGTTGGAAGAAACCCTATTTGCAATACAAATTAAGAATTTGAGGAGTATGTCACCAAATTTCTAATTTATTAAACTACTCAGAAAACTTTGCAATTCCATTGGCTGGAACATAGGTCATTAATGAAGAAATGGGACTGACCCATGAAAAGCCTCATGTGATAAGCCAAGAAGTTTCTACTTTGTCTTTTTGTCTGCTTGGAATCACAAAGGAAATTTTAAAAGGTAACATAGTCATATATACTTTAAGGTCACTGACAGAATGGTTGAAATAGAAAGAGGGTGTAAAAGAGGCCAAAAGACCAATTTGAAAGTTATTACTATAGTCTGAGCCAGTTCTTCCCAGATGGAGCATAGAAACCAAGGGGTGTGCAAGGCCATTCCCTGGGGACAAGAAAAATACTTGAACTTCTATTTGCATCTGTATTTAAACTTATAATTCCATTTCTTTTTGTGTAATTTTATGACGTATAAATATTAATACAATGGTGCACACCTATAATTTTTAAACAAATCTATACTTATATCAGGATTTCAAGCTAAAAAAGCATTAGCTAATATGGGAGCTTGATCAAGAAAAATTCAGACGTCTAGGAATGACAGGCAGGGATAGGAGAAGGGCAAAAAGAAGAGATTGATGTGAAGGATTTTGAGGTAAACCCAGCAAAATTTGGAAACTTAGTGGATTCAGAATTAGACAGCTTAGATATGTTCAGTGATATCACTTCAAACATTTTGGTCATTAAAATACATGCCATTTCCTAACCTTAGCATTAACATAGAACTTCACACTTGTGAAGGACATTAAAAGTCACTTTGGTTTTATATTTGTTTTCCTCTAAATGCTTCACAGGTTCATAATGAGATTTTGAATTTCAAAGTAAGAAATAGCCTCAATCCATTATTGAAAATTAAATTACATGAAATATATCATAAAACAAAGTAGTATTTCAGAGAATTTGCACATTAGCTCTACTTTTCCTTAAGACAAGTCCATGTTAGTAAATACTATACTCTTTGTTGCTGCAAACATTCCTTTATTTTGTGTTTTCTGCACTACTTTGTTTGTAGTGGTTAGAAAGAGATGGTTCCTTTTACAGCAGGCTCACATGGGTGAATTCTAGCAGCACTGACTTCTCACTGAGATACATTTCCATCCTGTGCAAACACCGGATTTTAAAGAAACATTAAGCCATAGAAGCCTAGAGGATATCTGATAGCATGTAATATTTCCTGCTTCTCATATTTACAGCAAAAAAACCCCTATACTCTTTCAGCTATGCCACCATGCTAAAAAGTAAAGTAAAAAGAATGAATGCAGGTCACACTGTACAGGTACTGTTACTGAAACAGAACTAAAGGGGTATTACTATAAGAATGTGTTCTCAGCTAGATGCCAAAGTGGGTAAAAAGCATTCACTGGTCGACAACTATAGGGGAAAAAATGGAAACAATGTGTATTATTATCCTATGTATCTAAAGAGTTGTCCATAAATTAGAAAATGCTTATGTTTAAAAATTATGTGAACATATCACACCAGATATAAATGGTTTATATAGAACAATCTGCATATACTTAAGGTTTGGGAGAAAAACGAACAACAATGCTAATAGTGGGCCACAGCATTTCTGGACCCTAGGACTCAGTGTGGGTTTGCTTTTCCCTGTTTTATAATTTTCGAAATCTTTGTTTTCCTTCATTATCAGGTTTCATTTATAATGGGAAAAATAAACTGTGATTAAAAATAGAAGAAACCAGAAAAAAGTTAAGAGATGTTAAGTATGAAAGGGAAGGCTCATAGTTATTCTGTTCATATTATTTAACTTATGAGTCTACTTGGTATAAGTTGCAGTGGATCTGTCAGTTTGGACCTGCCACTCAATTCTAAGCAAAAAGCAGCATTAGGACATTCCTGGTATAACAATGACATGACATACACCATTAAACACCATTCATTTATAACTCTTTGGCACAATTGAAGTTGGTTTGACTTTACTGTTCTGTGTTGGGGGCTCAAGTTCTAATGAACTAAACTGCTACCCTCAGAAGTACGTTTACTGTTCAGGAAGAGCAAATATTTGGGATTTTATAGACTGATTTCTGCTTATGAATTCAGAATCTTTCTAATACACATTTTTATATGTCAGCTTTCAGTTCTAGGGTACTGCCTCAAAACTCTTTCATATATTCAGGTTAACAATCTTAATTACCTCTTCTAAGTATTTTTCTACAGATTTAGTTGCCTTTACTATTTTCAACTTACTGTAGGTAAGAACAAAGGGTTGTGACTTTCTTACTGAAAAAAAAACACCATTCTAAACTTCTCCTTTGCTTCTCCTGATTATAGGAAATTTAAGATTTTAAAATATATTTTTTAAGCTTTCTTGGTTTCTCTTCTTCAAAATTAAAGTTTCCATGCACTGTGGATCTTAGTAGGACTCTAAATTCTGAATCTGAGCTCACATTTTACTGAGCTTCCTGTTCATCAATGACCAGTCTGAACATTACCAGAGCAAAAAGATTAGGCAAAACAGTTTGCTAAATACTGCTAAACTCCTTAATAGCCTGAAGGAGTTAACTTTGGCTTACAAAAATATTTACTTTTAGACAGTACTTGAAGCAAGGAGAATATGGCTCAGTGAGTAGGCTTAGCTGCTCCCTGATGGAAGCACTGTAATGATGCCACATTGGTTTATTAGAAGATGAGCACGTTGGCTAAGTAACAAATATGGTTAGCTATCACTGTGTCCTTTACAAGTAATATTATGATCTCCAATTCAGTAAAGACAATCTGAGCAGAATATCTTTACAGGGCAAATGTGTTAAGCCAGTTCTGACACACCAACCAAAACAGCATTAATGAAAATCAACAGGGGCAATATTGGGAGATTAGAAGAGTGACCAAGTGTTGGATCTTGCAAATATATTGGAATAGTATTTAACTCCATGGATTGCATTTGTAATTGGTTATGTAAGAATCTAGTTCACTGCAGAGGGACGGGGCGGACTGTGAGAAAGGTTGAAACTAGGATTAGATGTGCCCCTGGGATAAGTCAGGTGCTGCAGATACAAACTAGGCTAAGGTGAACGTTTTCCAGCTGGGAGAATTTAAGTTAAAGGACTGCACTGACATAATGGTGGCCAAAAATATTTTAGCACCAGATTCTATCCAGACAGCCCAGGAGGCAGGGGCAAGTTATTTTTGTTGCCAGAGTCCTCAGCCCAGAGTCGAGCGCTGATTCCGAGCATGAATGCAGGTTCCTGCTTGTAGAAGAGCAGGAATACCCCACAGGTTACTGGGCAGGGGCTTGAACTGGGCAATAAGCCAAGACCAGAATCAGGATAGAAATAGAGATTGCTGTTTTTTTTTTTAATATTAAAAAACATTTTCTCCAGTGGCTGAGGCATGATTAATAAGAATTATATATATCTAAGTCATACAGAGTGATTTTTTAAAGATATAAA